GATTTCTTTTTATAAAGTTTAGTTTTTGTTCGTTATTTTATTAGTGTCTTTTGAGTTTTTAAATTGTCTAATGTTTTTCTCTCTCCCTCGCTCGCTCTCTCTCTCTCTCTCTCTCTATTTCTCTACTGTTCGTAGCTGCTTATTATATATAGATATATATATTATAGACTGCATTCCAGTCCAGACATAAAGCTAGTCAAGACAAGAATTTTATTGATCTCAAATGCTTGGAACATTCCCACTTATTTTTTAACAACGCTGCCAATTACATATGCCGCCCATTTTATGGGCGTGTCTAGTCAGAAATTGAGCAAAGAATTAAAAAAAAAGTCTCCCTCTCATTTAACTGTCCATCTCTCTATCTCTATCTCTGTCTGTCTCTGTCTCTGTCTCTACGAACAGCAATTGTTGTTTTTACCAAATGCGATATTAAGAACTTTTGTTTTGTGTGCAACCGAGAATTAATTTGATTTTAATTGAATTGATTATAAATTAAAATTATGATTAGTTAGAATTAGTCTTACGCTTAATTATCATATAAACTATATAGTAATATGCGCTTATTATTTACTTTATACAGACATATATAAATATATATACATATATGTATATATGTATATGTATGTAAACACAAGAAATACCAAAATACCAAACTAGAATCGCATAACATAATACATAATATATATATACATATATATATATATATTGTATATTATACATACAAAATGATTATGATGATTACAATGATGATGACGATGACGATGCAGATGATGATGATGATGATGATAAACTATTTAATTTTTTATTAACGTATTTATATCAATTACTTAATAATATTTATCCAAACATTTCAAATGATATTTCAAACTAAACAAACAAATGGAAAACAAACAAACAAAAAAATATATATAAATAATAATTAATATTATAAATGTATTTGCAAAATATATGATTATGAGTTTTTCTTGCTTTGCATATCAAAATACACAAAACTTGCTTCAGTTGAGTTCAGTTTCGGTTGGTTCTTTTCATTTCACTCATTCATTTCGTTCAGTGTACTTTGGTTCGCTTTCCTCCTCAGCTGCTAACTCTGTACCTCTGCCCCCTATCTCTCTATCCCTCTCTCTTTCATTCATTCTTTCTGTTCCTCTATATATGTATATTTCCCTTGAATTTAGTTTCGTTCTTCGTTTAAATTCCGTTTGGATTTGTTTTTTGTTTCTTTTTCTTTTCGTGCAGTGTACTTTGACTTAATTCTCACACACACACAGCCCACTATCTTTCCCTCTCTCTCTCTCTCACACACACACACACACACACACACCTTTTCTCCAAATTGTTTCAGTTGTTGTGCTACAATCTCCAAAAAAAAAAAATACAAAAAAAAAATACCACAAAGTGTTCCGTGTTTATACAACTTATGTAAGAAGCGTATATGTTTTTTTGCGCAGTGTTCTTGCCAACTTGACTTGATTTCATTTTGTTTTAGTGTATAAGTAAGCCAAGAGCAAACACAAAAAAACAAAAACAGTTTGAATACGCAATTTCTCGCAGTGCATCATTTCATGCGGATGTTTTGGATGGAAAACATTTTCTGTTGGTTTTTCGTTCTCTCGTTTCTCTTGGTTGGTATCACGCCCACTTTTCAGTTTTCAGTTTGTTGTTGTTGTTCTTGTTGTAGACGAATTTTTTATGTGCTTTTTTTCGTTGTTGTTGCCCGGTAAGTAAAACAAACGAATCAAGTTGATGCAGCAGCAGCAAACTAAGAGAAACACCAAAAAAAAAACACGGCTAAACCTTATTTATAAAAAAAAAAAAATGAACAAAAACGAAAATATAAACCAGAAAAAAGAAACCAAAGAAATACAACAAAAAAACAACAATTACATTATCCAGGCTAAATATAATATAATTTGATTTGCTTTCCTCTGTACAGCGTTGAATATTTGAATATTTGATTTTCCTCAATAATAAACATCGCCCATGATGAGTTTTGACTTCAACAATAATGGTTTTTTTGTACTCTCTATTTTTTTCTATTGTAGCTAACCACGAAAAAAAAAAAAAAAACACTTAAAAACAAAAACTAAAAAAAAAAAATAATAAAAAGAAAAAAGAAATTAAAAACTAATATTTAAACCGAGCCGAATGCATATTTCTAATTTGTTTCTTTCTCTTGATTTATTTTCAGGCGTGTTGTTGTTCGATTTTTCAATTGAATTTGACATTTAACATTTACATTAATTACATGTTTAACTTTCAATGAGTTAATTAATTGCAAAAAAAAAAAAAAAAAAAAAACAAAACAAAAACAAAAAAAAAAAAAACACAATAATTACTGATTGTATATGATTATATGATTCATTCGATATTAATTGTAATTACATACTTATTTATTCATGCCAAACACATACACACCTTATATATATATATTTGTATACATATGTGTGAGTGCCAGTGTATGTGTGTGTGTGTGTTCTTTATTGTATGTATGTGAGCGTACATCCTTTGTTTCTGTGTACATACACACATTCACATAGATAGACATACAGACATACATACATAGTTGTGTAACATACAATCATACATTTTCACTCACATATATCTGCATACATACATACATACATTATATACAGACATACATCATATACATACATACACATCACTTGTTCGCATTTTAGCACACTCACATACATACATACATATCTATAAATATATATATATATATGTACTACACACACACCCATACACCCACAGACACACACACACCCACACTTATCTATTGTAATTTCCTTCATTTCATTACAGTTAAACAAGTAAAAAAAAAAAAAAAAAAACAACTCAATATCTTAAACTTATAAGTTATGAAGGAAACTTCGAAAAAAAAAAATATATATATATATTTCCCGATTCCTCGAAAAATATATATTAACCTCATCATTTTAAGAACTTTAAGAAAATATTAGAAAGTAGAAATATGATTTAACTTAAATATTATTGTTGCTAGAAAAAAGTGAAACATTCTTGTTTTAAACAATCCATCAAAGTCGAGGCACTTCATATAATTTGCTTTCAAGTATTCTATCTAGCAAAGTTCGATGTTTCAACAAATTCGAGATTTTATTTAAAATTCAATTTTTGAATAAATCAATTTTAATTTGTTTTTGATTTAGATCTTCGAGAAAACTAAAATCAAAGTAAACATCATGAACAAAGTGTAGGATTCCTCGCTGAGCACCACCAAAAACCACTGAACCACCGTACCACCGATATTTATTTTGTGCGTAAACCTTCTTAAACTACAAAAAAAAAAAAAAAAAAACAAAAACATAATAGTATAATTTAGCTTTACTTAAGTTTAACATTCAAATATATGATCTTGATCTCGATTGCGATCTATCTTGTTGTATTCTGTGTATTTTGTATTGTATCAAAGACCAAACACACAAACACACACAAATATCACTTGATTTTTTTCAGTGTAACTGTCTATTTGTTTTACTCCAACACACACACACACATACCTGCTCTCAAGCTCCCCCCTCTCTCTCTCTCTCTCTCTGACTAATGATAAATATTTATGGTTTTGATATTTTCATCGGTTTTCGATTTGGAATTATCGATTATTGTGATCTAATAATTTTAAGTTTCATACGAATCATATGAATTTTATCCGTGCTACTTATCTATTATCTATATATATGTATGTAAACAGAAGAAGAGGAAGATTCAGAAGAACAATCAGAGGACGAGCACAACTTTAACCATTAAGCTAGAGATTTTTGAATTAACGGCTTTCGGTTTCGATTTGATTTGATTTGATTTGTCTCTGTTGCACCAGCACCAACGCGATGCAAACTGAGTGGATTCATAGATTTTTGGAATTGTTTTTCGTTACACTTCTGTTCAGTAGATATAGGGCCTAGATCACCCATCCAATACGCTCTTCCCGCAATATTATGCACCAAAATAGATCAAGATTTACGTTTTTTCTTCGGTTTCGGTTTCAAAACACTTTCCGGATTTTTGGGTACGCTGAGCTGTGAATTGAGTTGATTTGTAGATTGTTTTTGCCATATATCTATAGATATATATATATATTTATATTTATATATTTATTTTGAACTTTTTTCATTCAGTTTTCATTTATGATTGACGTAACTTTGTTTATTTTCATTTGATTGACTTATTTATTTATTTGTTCTTGTTCTGAAACACACGTCATAATATATGTAAATTTACTGATTATATTATTTCAAATTATTTATTTTTAGCTCTCGGTTAAACAAATTTCTTATCATTTGGGAATTACGTTTATTTTGAGATTCTTCTTAATTTGTTTTCTTTTTTTTTTTCAAATATCTATAAGATATTTCTATGGCTAGGTTCCTAAGTCAATGAAACATAAACTGCCAAAAGTTTTTTTTTTTAAGAAATGTTTTACAACAAAAATATAAATATTAAATAAAAACAAGAGAAAAGAATACCAAGTATTTAAAAAACAAAGACTGAGACCCAAACGCAGCTCAACGCAAATGCAAATGCAAAAAAAAAAGAAAAAAAGACAAGTAAATAATAGAAAATAGAAAACAAATTTATGAAAGATAACAGCAAAATAAGTAAACAACAAACAAATCAAAATCGAAAAAAAATCGAAAACAAAAATCAAAAAACTTAGTACGTTAAGTGAAACAAAAACTGTGATAAGAAAACTGGCTTCCAGTTTCAATCAAAGATAGAATATAAACTACCATTTAAGCTAGCAAGGCGAAGTACATAGATGATGAAAGTGAAGAAGAAGTAAGAGTAGCAAAGCCGACATACATACATACATACATATGTGTTGTGTTTAGATGTAAGCCGTGTGCTATCGATAGCCAAAAGCGATAGCAATGATAAGCGTAATAAAGAAAAGTAAACACACAGACAAACTGTGAACAAGATATGTTAAGAGGATAATGATGATGATGATGATAAAGAAGAAGAAGCAGCGCACTTACCAATTGGGCGCCACCTTGTCGAGGGCCGCGTGCTGCCAGGTGTTGCGCAGCTCTCGCAGCAGGAATGAAACGGGCATGCCATGTATGTTGCCCGACTGCGAGGTGTTATGCAAATTGATATCCGCATGCGCATCGATCCAGACCAGCGACAGATTCGGCGTGTGCTGCAAATGACCCGCCACGGAACCTGCGCGCCAAAAGATCGGTAAATCAATACAATTCGAGTTTTTAGTCTGGCAACGCTGGCTGCCATTGCCATTGCCGCCCGTTGGCGCTCACCGAAGCCGATGGCATGATCGCCGCCAATTGTCAGAAATTGTGCGTTCTGCTGCAGCATCACCTGCACCTGCTCGATCAACGCCAAATTGCAGGCCATAAAGTCAGCATAGTTGCGGATGTGGTAATAATGCTGGCGCTGCTGCTGCAGCAGCGTCTCGTCGACGGCGTAGTGCAAATTCCCATAATCGGTGATGAGCAGGCGCTCTGTAATCGATAAGCAACAACAATCGATAAAATAGTAAATAAATGACAGTTGAAAAAAAATGAAAATTCAGTTGTTTTGCATTTTGATTGCTGACTTTGGTTTGTTTTTCTTTTATTTATATTTTTCTAGTTGTTCGTGCTCACCGTCGCTGCTCTGCAGCACCTGGCGCAGGTTGCTCTCTCGCAGCAGATCGGGCGCCAGCTCCACGCCCTGTTTGCCCTGACCCTTGGCAAAGGGCACACCGATGATGCCCAGCCGGGTTTGTTCCCCGCTCGCCGCTGCGCTAAAGCAGCGTCCCAGCAATTTGACTGATGCTAGCTGCCGCCTCCACCACATGATCGCGATCTATTGCGTGTGTTGTCCGCTCGGTGACAATTGCCAACTGAGCTCACTTTCGCCTGCTGTCAACTGTAGCAACGGCTACAGAGCTTCGACCTGATGGACCTGATAAACGTTCCATCTTAATGACAATTTCGCAGCGTCCCACTCTGTGCCGCCGGCCCAGCGTCACGCATGTAACTGATAGCGCGCGCGATAACCTTGATCCTTGATATATATACATACATAGATGTAGGTATTTATGTGTACTTTGTATATTAAGCTTGCTCCAGCGGCACCTACGAATCTGTGCAAACCTGATTTAGCTTGGAACGCTTTTGTTTACTTTGTTTTTGGACAGCGGCCCGGTGATTGGCTATCTTTTACAGGGTATATGCCCTTCTATATGTCACTCAACCCTTTCGTAATGCTATGAATACTCAAAAGGGAGGCTTGGAGAATAATCGAGACATTTACTAATTTGCTGGGAGTTTGAATTATAGAGAGGATATAAATACATATAGGAGTTTCTCTAGAAACTTTTTTTTCAATTATCTTAAAAACCCAACCGCTTTCAAAATATTAGGTAGAATAAAATAGACCTCAGTAAAATAAAAGATTTAGTATTCTAGGCCTTATAGTACACATTAAACAGAGAGAACAGGAACAGCAGAATATAGCTATATATGTATGTATAAATTAAGAATAATAATGAAAAACCATTCGAAATTATTGAGAATTCAGATAAAAGACTCATAAATCTAAATATTCAAGGTAATCGAAATCTTTGAAAGCCGTTGTATAACCTGTACAGATAAAAGACATTGAAATCTAAGCCAATCCAAAAATCAACTTGATTTAGCGCATTTCATTGTCGACTTGCTGAAAAAAAAATCTTTTAATCTACAGTAAGTGTAGCATATCGGTCTATTACTAGCTATAATTGTTGTTGTTGTTGTATTCTTTCGGTTGGGGGCCCTCCAGCTTGCGCTTGTTTTGATAGCCGCTATCAAGGCTAGCTTCCAAAAATAATTTTTACGGAAATCAATTGCAATTGTTATATATATATATACTAGCAGTCCCAGCAAGCGTTGCATTGCCCTACCCTTATTTCTAGGTAAAAAATGATTAAAAGGTATGTTGTTCAGGTTGGGATACACTCTAATTAATTTATTAATCAGATTTTCATTCAAGCACCTTGTGGTAAACGACATTCTTCGTTTTTTGGTCAGGTGCAAGAACAAATAATGCGGATGGTTTGCCAACACGTGAGCATGCCACGTACAATTGACCATGAGAAAAACACGCATTTTCTAGATTGAGGCCACAAATAGTCAAAGATTGGCCCTGTGATTTGTTGATCGTCATGGCGAAGGCAAGACGAATCGGGAATTGAATTCGTTTAAACTCAAAGGGCATATCTGTTGGGATCATCGGAATCCTTGGAATAAGAACTTCCTCATCTTTAAATTTTCCTTTGAGTATCGACGCGTGAATAACATTGCTCAACAGTTTTCTTATTACTAAACGCGTTCCATTGCACAGTTTTGGTTGGTTTAAATTTCTAAGCATGATAACTACCGAGCCAACCTTCAGTTGTAAATTGTGCGGTGGTAAACCAGGCACATCCAAGGAGTTCAAAAATTCAGTTGGATAATTAGTGGCTTCATCTTCGTTTGTTACACAGTCGATAGATTTAAATGAATACAGAGTACCAACGATTTTATTTAACAATGTAATTTATTAGTGACCGAATTTTTTGCCTGAAAACCCGTGCGGTGATGTCGTGTCGATCACTTGATGTTTGTCCGGGAAGCAGCAATTGAATAATTTCGATCCATTTCGGATTACATGTAAATGTAATGAATAGATCTGGCCGACCATAATGACGAACATATGTCATTGCATCTTGCGCATATTCATGCATATGACGCGGGCTACCTGTGTATGTCGCTGGTAAAATAGTCAATCGACCAACATTTCCAGAATCTCCATCTGTGATTATTGCATCGCGTAAATGAATATACTCTTCCGAACGCAATTTAGCTTGATTCAAACGGATGAAAGTCAGGCGCCCGTTGAAACAGTCGACGAAATCGCAACAAATAATTGTCAGAATTTTCACGAATCATCAAACGATATGCGTAATAATTCATCGAACTAACCTTCTTGGCAGTTTCCTCACCTGAAACAATTACAGTAAAAATTGTATTTTAGAACCCCTAATAGGTTTACGACTCTTACAGCTACTAAATTAAGAGTGATAACTTTTTTGTGTACCAAAAGCAAACAGAATGAAATGTATATAAAGTTAAAATGAAAACAATGATTTTACCATTCAATGGATTAATCATTTTGATATTAAAGTGATATCCATCGTCTCCTTGCCAAAACATCAGCGGGTATTGTAAAGCGTCATATGAACGGTGCGTTTCAGATATTCTTTGTAGTTGCTCAGCACTGCGTCGTGTAAGCACAATATCGCGTGCTTCCAAGCTTTCACCAACAATCAGGATTGCCACTTCATCGATTGTTGGAGCAGCTGGTCTTTTATCTGCTCTGATTACTATTTTATAGTCATCTCTTGGCATGCGCTCTAAAGCGGTCTTGAACAACTTGACCAATGCATGATGTTCATGAAGCATTTGCTGCAAATCTTGGAGAATTGCTCTTTTCATCGCAGTGTTGATTTCTTGGCGCCGATCAAGTTGCTCTTCCATATTGCCCATGAAGTATATTTGCAAGAATTTGTGCTGTTCATCTTCAATAGGTTGCAATGATCCAATGCGATGGCAAATCTGGCCTTGAATCTTTACATTCAAAGCCATAGTTATAGTTAGATTTACAAACACTTTTTACAGAAATCTAACCAACTACATTATCCCAAATAAGAAAATAAAATTTTTAACGTAAATTACCTTAAATGTCGGATTATATCCGTGTTCTTCAATAATTTCCGCCCCAAATGAAGTCATTTGGAAACAGGCATTGTATTTTTGAGTGTTCGCTAGAAAATGTCGTGATTCTAGTGTTTCGCCATAAAGCAGGGAACGCAATGGCTCTGGTGGCGAGACCACTAATGGCAATGTCACTTTACCACTAAGGCAGCACAAACCGGGCGTTTCACCAGCAAACTTCAATGCGCCACAATGCTGGCAAACAACGTCCATTGGACCAATGCAAACTAAACGATTCAAGCTGTAGTCAATGGTACAATCATATCGAAACGCTGCTCGATTCAAATCAATCCTTGAACCATTTCTTATTGCCGTTTCACGGGCTGCCTCTCTTTGAGAAGCACGAATTAAGGCCCTTCTTTGCTGGGTACTAACGCGGCGCCTTTCTCGTTCTTCGTCAGATAATTGACTCGCGGTATTCCGTAGCCTAATTGCATTATGGGTCCGCTGGGAAAGATTAGATCTTCTAGGACGCGGCATTTTCATTAATAGTAATACTGAATATGCACAATCGCACAAAACCACATAAAATATCGAGAAATCGAGAAATATAAATAAAAATTATTTACAAAAATAATGTCGAGAAATACAAATATAAATTATTTACAAAAATAATGTCTGAGAAAAACAAATTCAACAATACCTACCTGAACTTTCGAGATATTTTGCTTTTGTCCGTATGCGTATTGTTTTTCAAAATTTTTTTTTTTAACAAATGTGCTTTTTTATGAATAGTCAGGTTCGCCTGAGGCTGTGCCGTAGACTGACTGACTACATTTGTTTATTTACTTCTACACTATTGTCAAAACTGTCACTGTTACCAAGCCTACTGGGTATAAAAAAAATTTGAACATTTGGGGAAAAAACCGCGTTTTTCAAGTATTCGGCAAATTTTTTCAGTATTTTTAAGACCCTATACTAAACTCGTTGCGGAGACAAATCCAACAAATCAAAAACCATGAAAATTGGTTCAGCCCAAATCAAGTTATAAGCAGTCTTCACTTTTACACAACTTTCTTTTATATATATAGATATATATATATATATATAATTTTATATATTTATTTTGATAAAAGTGCAAAGTGAACTTATTATTTATTTATAAATAAATGTATAGCTCCAGATTTACATATATGTATAAAGTTACTGGGTATATTAAGGTATACATATATATTGATATATACATATTTTTTAAGCAATTGAAAAGTGCTTTTAAAATCGTGGGAAATTATATTATATATTATCTAAATATTATATATTATATATTTGCATTTATTGCTGAACTGTATATAAGTAAGTTTAGTACAACTTGGCATATATATATATATATATATATATATATATATATATATATATGTATTTATACTATATAAATATATAACCAACTCTTTGCCAGATCTGCTATGTGGTTCGGTCTAGTCAATCAGTTGGCTTGGAATGTTTTTTGGATAGCTTGAGCTATAGTTGATATGTGTCTTGAGCTATTTAAATATATAGTTACATAAGATTATTATTATATTTGCTTTCTATATCTTTTATATTTTGTTAAGGCTCAGTCTTAAAAGTACAGTTACAGTTACGTTCTTGGACAGCACATAGATACATATATTATTATATATTTTATGCTACTTTTTTGATTCCTTTTTAGATATATATATGAATATATATCCGTATATATTTATAATAAAAGTATAAAAAAACATAATTTTAACATTAATTTTTTTAGTTAAGCATACTTGAAGCAGAGCGCTCGGTTTTTGAAAACTTTGGAATCACAGTTATGTTGTGTGCTGTTGTTGTCTGAGTGTTGCCATCTCTTTCTACTGCCTGCGTCGATTGTGATGAGGCAGCATGACAATCTCATCGCCGCTCTCATCGGCCACATCCAGCTGCAGCTCCTGCTCATCCAGGTCCAGCCCGTTGCCATGCCCATGCCCATCCTCGTCATCGTCCTCGTCGTCCGTGTGCAGGATGTGCTCCAGCTGCTCCTCATCGAAGTAAGGCTGTATGGTCATGCCACCTTTAGGGGAGGGAATCGGGTAAATTCAATTACAATTGCAAATGCATGTTTCAATTGTGTGTTGCACTCACGTTTGATGGGCGAGCGGAAGAGCTCCGTTTCGCCAT